GAAGGAGGGGTCTAGACCACACCCCTTGTGGAGACCAGGACTGATTATCATGAAGACCGCGGGAAGTTACCAAGGATGCACACACGATACCCACTGCTACGACTGTTATGTTTTAAAAAGTCCACACAGTGGGACTGGGACATAGCTCAGTGGGTAGAGTGCTTGCCCAGTGTGCACAAGGCCCTGGGTTCAATCCCCAGCACCACCAAAGAAAACTCCCCCCACCCCCACTGCCCCCTAGTGAAAGAGTCAACCCGGCACAATGCCTCTGGCTTCAGCCCCACCACCTACCAAACAGGCCGATGTTCAGCCACATCTGGCCCAGCCTGGGAAGGGCGGTCTGCAGGCCTAGCTCTGGCCTAGTTCTGGTTGCAATTCCTGGCTTTACTGCTGTAAACCATTCTCCGGCCTTGGATTCCATGCACGTTCCCTACCACGTGAGGATGAGACTTCCCGTCCTGTGAGCTCTGAGATGAACAGCATGATCCACACAGAGAGGCTTATCCCTAGAATAGACAGGAAGCTGCGGAGCCGAACCCTGGGCTCTGGCTTCTCTTCCTGGACACCACAGGAGCTAAGTAACCTGTCCAGGCTGGTTATTGACAAAGTTGGGGTTTGAACTCTGGCCTGTCTGGCTCCAAATCTATGCCATTTTTCTTCTTCTTCTTCTTTTTTTTTAGTGATGCTGGGGATTAAAACTGAGAGTCTCACACAGTCTAGGCAAGTGCTCTACATCTTTAGCCCTTTTATTTTATTTTGAGACAGGGTCTCAATAACTGCCCAGCTGACATCAAACTTGTGATCCTCCTACCTCCTCCTCCTGCCCCACCTCCTGAGTAGCTGGGATTATAGGCATGTGGATAGGTGTGTGCCACCACACCTGGCTGACCTGTGCTCGCTCTTTCTTTCCTTTTTTCTTTCTTCCTTCCTTCCTTCCTTCCTTCCTTCCTTCCTTCCTTCCTTCCTTCCTTCCTTCCTTCCTTCCTTCCTTCTGGCACTGGACCACTAAGCCCCAGCCCCAGCCTTATTTTGGATTTTATTTAGAGACAGGGTCTCTCTGAGTTGCTTAGTAACTCGCTGTTGCTGAGGCTGGCTTTGAACTCCTGATTCTCCTGCCTTAGTTTCCCGAGGCGCTGGGATTACAGGTGTGTGCTATCATACTCGGTGACCTGTGCTATTTCTAATACAAGATGTCATTGCAGTAATATAGAATGTCTAAACTTTGGCCTTGACTGAAGGACACCATTCAACTCAACCCAACTGATATTATGGAACAGCGACAGTGAATTAGGTAGTAGGAAATTCAGAAGTGAGCTTGCTTTCCAGGAGGCTGCAATGGGGTGTCATTGCCGGGTCTGGCATATGATAAATTGGTGTAGGAACAAATGGTGAGTGAATGCCATAACTGATTATGTAGTTGTCATATTCTATTAGAAAACTGGTCAAAAATTTTTAGAGGAAATGCACCATGGCTGCTAAGATCATGTGTCTGGAGGGGTAAAATGGGGCGGTATAACTCTTTACTTCTTAGGTGAGGAAACTGAGGCTGGCAAAGGTGAAATAACTTGCTCCAGGTCATAGAGGCAGCCAGCAGCAGAGTGTGGGGTGACAGGCCTTCTGGTGAGCAGTGCTC